TGGCCACTTTAAGATGAGCGGACTTCAACTCCCAGAATTCCCCAGCCATGGCTGGCTGAGGAATTCTGGGAGTTGAAGTCCACTCGTCTTAAAGTGGCCAAGTTTGGACAACACTGGCCTAAACCTAAAGCCATATCCAAAACATTTGCAGGGAGGACCCACCAGGTTGATTATTGTATCTTCATGCAGCTCTTGGCAAGGCAGTGTGCATGCTTTCTATGGCCTGCAAGATCAAAAGAAGGCAGGAAGGCAGGAAGGATCTTCTTCAATCTGGCTCCCTCAAAATGGGTTGGAACTGGAAATCCCATAATATCATGAAAACATAACCAAAGGCCTGAGGCAAACTCTGGCTAGGAATTTTGGGAGTTGAAGCCCTTATTTCTGAAGCTTGGGGTAAGCTGGATTCTGAGGCTCACATAGTAAAAAAAAAAAAAGAATTCTTAGTCTCCCAATTTTCCATTAAAATATGTTTTATTTCTAATGAATGATGATACCATTTCTTTTACACTGGCCTCAACTTGGACCCACAAATCTCACACTAGCCTGAAGACTGATGATTTTTGGTAAAGTAATTCCCTTCTTTTTTTTCTCTGCCTGGAGCTTTCCTGACTTTCTTTAAAATATATTTTAAGAAATCAGAATGAAAATGTGTTATGCCTATATTATTAAGGCACATGAGAGCTGTCTTTCAGTTGAATTTGGTGGAGACCATAAGAATTTATGGCTACATGAGGGAATTTTACCTTTCTTGTAAGAATACATTTGTGGAAAAATCAGTTCCAGAAATGATGTATTTCAGGAGATATACCACACACACACACACACACACATCCATACCACATATACTCTACAGTAAACATAGGAAGAGTAATTTTTTCCTTAGGCATCACATTTAAATTAAAATGTCAGTGTTGGGGGAAGTTTACCTTGTGTATTTTTTCCCTCTTTCCCTAAATGGCATATTAAAAGTTCTATCCCTGGCATGCTCGTTTATTTGGTAGGGAATATTTTATATGCAGCAGTTGATAATGAGTTTGCAGGGGAGTGAACCTGTTCTCATTATCTCTGAACTCCCTTGACTGATCCTTACTTGGTTTCCCTGCAAACTCATTTCATGTCAGGAAATGTGGGGGCCATGATAAATCAGGATGCCCAATAAGACACCCTTCCCCGACAAGGATTCTTATTCTGCTTCTTAATTGTAACGAAATTGGTTTTTCCCCCTTCTCCCATTCCTTACCAGCACCTTATACATGATCTGTCTTCATTCACACATAAAGCAAATGTGTGGGTCTGATTTTACTATTCATTACTTTGCTCCCATACTGGAAGCAAACCTGCCACAGAGAAAATTCTTTGGATGTCAGTCCACACAAGGTGGCAGCTAGAGTTCATCTCCTATCAACCAAAGTCTTATTTTTATGCTAAAATCATAGATCCAGACTCATGAATCCAGACACATTATCAAACAAAATTTGACTGTGGCCATTGCAGTTAGCTCCTTGGTTGATCATAAAAAGCGTGCTGGATCTGATTCATATGTGGATGAGAGGCCATCAGGAAATTCCAGGATTGTGGGATAGACTAAGAAGCTGAAAGAACATTCCAGAAGAAGGATGTGTCAATGAAGTCATCAGGAGTCCAGCTCAACTTTACTTTTTTAAAGCCAAATTCACAGGGTAAGTTCAGGGGTAGACAACATTGCCCCAAATGGGCACAATAAAATCTTGAAAATCTCTAGTTCCTTTTTTCAAAACTGTGTCTTTAACTCTCATTAGGTTCAGTATTGTTTGTTAGCAATAAGCACCTTACGCTAACATGATTTCCAAGTATAAGACAGTTTGGTGATGGATCTACCATTACATTTGTAATGATGTAGGTGTTTAAAAGTATGTGCAAAAATGACCTCTGTGCACCATACATAGTGCCCTGTATCTGTGCAAGAATGTTCTAGATCTCAGAGTTCTGGGGGGAAGCTCTTCTGAATTTTCTTCAGGAGTTGCTCTACCTTTTCCCTCAGTTCCATTCTTACCACCACAACAACATATTCTTGGAGTGTGCTTTTCTGACTGAACATCTTCCCCTTCTTCATGTCTTGCTTGGGTTCTATCGCTCTAAGAGTCATTTGTTTTGTGAGTTTCATGGTATATCCTCTATGCATTCACTTGCATTGGCCCAGCTCGAACACTCCATCCAAAGTACCACAAATACATGTGTTTAAGCCATTTGTGGGATATCTGTTCTCATTCCTAATACTTTTCAGCAGGCTCTGCTGTCCTGGGTGTAGTTATTGTTGTGGGGTCAGGTCCTCAGTACCTTCTTTAGGTAAGTTCCTTGTCTTTAGGGCTTCAGCTGCTGATTATTCTACTGACAGATGTCCTTTGGACACTATGTTTTCTTTAGAATCTTCCAGATCAGTTCATATATCAAACCTTCAAGATCAGTCGTTTTGATAACAGAGGAGAAGCCTATGCACCCTAAGCAGAAATACAACCCAACTTTCACTTCTCCATCACTGGAAAAGCACTTCAATACACCAGTTCTGGAGACTAAAGCTTAGAGCAGTGCCCCAGGCTTTCTTACTCACCCCTTACATTTTTCAGTCACTTTCTGTCGACCACTTTTAGGCAAACTAGCTACCGAACTTATTTAAGACCTGGCTGAAACATTGCAGATCCAATCTATTCCTCTAGGCTCCGTTTTTGCTACTTTAGCAATTCAAATTATTTGCATACTCCTACTCCTTGTCACTTTTGTGTGGCCCCTCGCAATGATAGTCTGTGATTTTTCTACATGGAAGATTGGCCTCAATTTGAGGGATGCTGTTTCCACTTTGTCGTCGTAATTTTGTAATTGAATGATTTAGCTTTTACGTCTTTGTCTTACACCCAATATTTTTGTATTTTTATGAATACTGTATTCTGGTTCACTTTAATTATAATTTGGTTACTACTACTACTATTAGTACTACTACTGATTTTATTTCTCTCCTTGTTTCGCTTAACTTTTATTACCTAACTGTACATAATTCTGGCTAGTGACTTTAATAAAGATTTGCTTAATTGAGTTCACATATCCATCAGGCAAAATCACTGTTGCTTCCTTCACTTTATGGCAGTAAGTGTTCACATGCAGTTCCATGTCCTGCCCTTCAACCTATCAACTCCTCCAAGGATATTTACAAAACACATGGCAATATACATTCAGCTTTAGATAGTTGTCATCTTTCTGTAAATCAGTGTTTGGTTGCTTGTTTCCTGACCAACAAGTTCCTTTCTTCTCACATCCATCATATTCTCATATATTCCATGTATATGTAGACCAGATCCAACAGTCACATTTGGTTCCCTCCTAGGTTCTTCCAATTAGTCGACATGCCTCTTGAGGCTGATTATTTCTACCTTGGAACCAGTGTTGATTTTTCTGGGTGGAATCATCTTACCAAGTTGACTTTACAGGTATTGAAGATCAATTAAAAGTTTTTGAAGTCAATGGGTGTAATCATATTCAATATTCACTATGCCAGGGCTCAAATCCAATTGGGTTTGGTTGTGGTTCCTCTCAATATGTCTATCATGCATGTTGCAGTCATGCTGGCTAATGCTTCTTTTGCTCAGTGTCTGAACTTCGCTTTATTCTTGGCTAGCAAGCTACAATCTCCTTTGAGATGTGTTTTCCCCTCGTCTTTGACTGTCCAGAGTTCTCATCATGCAAACATTTCAGTCAGGATTAAGGACTGTACTCTAGGTGTTTTCACATGCAAAGCCAGTGATGAGGATCTGTGGCAACACGACATATCAATCAGTGGTCATGAAGTACCGACTTGAAGGCTTTTGGACTTTTGGACTGCAGAGTGCTTCTTCAGGGACACACTGTCAATCTTTTGAACAACAATATGAGTCTAGTTTTTTACCTTCACAAGCAAAGGGATACACAATGCTTTGTCATTCTCCACTTTTCAGTATAAACATGGGCTTAGTGCTTCAGTGTATTCAGTTAGTTGCATTGCTCATTCTGGAATGAAGAAAAACTGTGCCAGCATTTTCAGTTGAACTTATATAAGGAACTGCATGAATGGCACTTTCCCCTTTCGTAGTACAGAGACACTCCCATTGGTGGGACTGATCCCACATAGATTATCTTTCACTAGTGTTTTTGTTTAACTGCACCTGACTGGGTAAAGATCAGACTCCACAAGATGTATCTCTGTTTCCATTCTTGGATCTGATGTTCTATGTACTCCTTCCATTTCCATTGCTCCTTTGATGGTCACCAAGATTCATAGGAGTTGTCCAAATATCATCTTAATTACTCTTTAATGACCGCATCAGCCATGATTTGAGTTCATCACCTTTCTAAGCAGTATATAGGAAATTCCAAATTTACTTAAGAAGCAAGACAGAGGGATCCATCACAGAAACCTGTTCTCTCATAGTCTAACCCTTGGAGAATCAGGTTGCCCAAACTTTAGCACTATTCATTCATAGGAAGCCTTTCACCAGGTGGTCCTGTATCTCAAAGTAGTCTATGTTTGGTAACTTTCTCAGGAGTTGGGCTATGATTCCAGATCTGTTTCTTCTGAATGGTATTTTCAAAATTATTTATCCTTATTTGAAAAACATTGTCTATTTGCTGACTATTTGGGCATTTCATTTGCCTATCATGAGGATTTCAATTCTTTTATATGCCTTTAATCGGCGTGGGAAGAAACTTCATCCTCCAGGTGTCCCTTTGCTAATCCCCAGGTTCCCAGCTTTAGTTCTCACACAGTTGATGGGAAAACCCTTTGAGTCATTTGCAATCTCTGACTTGCATCTGCTGGCATCAAAAATCATATTGCACTCTGCAGTAACTTCAGTGTGGAGGAAGGAAGTGCATTGCCAACTCTCAGTGTGTTTCATTAGGATATAGCTGTTTTGTGCACAGACCTCTCCTTTTTACCTAGAGATTTTTCTGAATTTCACCTTACACAGGAATTTATTTTATTTGTTTTTCCTCTGTCCTAAATATACAAACATTTTTTCTACACACATTGCATCTTCACATAGCATTGCCCTTTTATCTACAGAAAACTGAGGCATAATGCATCCATTATGTATCTGTTCCATTGTCTTGCCAACAAGCTTAGCAATCACTAAGGTGGACTCAAGCACACCCTTTCTTTACACAATTGTGTATTTACACTGCTTTTATTTTACTTTCAAAAGAATTCTGATAGTTTAAAAGGGAGCAACTTGCTGCATCCCCCAGAGGTTGTACATTCATTCACCAACACTTAATCTGATAGCTGAATTAACCCATTTTCTGGATTTGCATAATATCAGTGAACTATAAAATAAAGAAAAAGTCAGGATGCATGCAACAACAACAACAACAACAAAAACCCTAACCAAGCTGAACAAAGATTAGCATATTGGGCCAAGGTATTTCCTATCTGACCTGTTTAAGTGGATTATGTGAACACAGGCACTATTATGGCTGAGCTGGAGTTTTAATGCGTTCTCCTTGATCCATCTCTGACAACCTGTCAGTAACAGACAATTATATTTACTTCAGTTCATGTTCTGCTCTAGAAGCATACTATTGGCCTACCTGATGAAGTTGTTTTAAATATTATACAGTGCTATATAAATGCTAAGTATAATTAAGCATTCTTCATTTCTAGCTGAGCTTCCACTTGAAGGCACTTCTGGTATCTGGTAGGGGCACTTCAGACAAGAAACATTTGCAATTAGAATCCAAAGTAATGTAGACATGGGACATAATAGCATTTCAAATGGGAAATGGCATAAATACAAGAGGATAAATTACTTCCCCCCCCCCACTTCTTCTCCCCTACATGCACACTGATTTTACTATGAATATACTTCTAGACTGAAAGCAATGTAAAAGAGGCTGGTGATACATGGCACAATCCAGAAAAAATGGTGAGCTGAGTGCCATTTTTCTAGTGGAAGTGTGGCATGCCTCTGCCAAGTTTCATTCCAAGGATTGGAACTATGTAAAGCAGGGATGAAGAATCTCTGGGCTTATAAACTACATCTAGCCGGTAGGCTTCAGGTTTGGCTTCTGCTGAGGTGGTCCTGGTCTTTCCCCAATGCCCAGTCCTCTCCAAGATGAGAGAGAGAAAGAGAGAAAGCTAGTTCAACTATGCTGAAGTGGTGATTCCAGGCTTCTCTTTGCCCTTCACCTCTCCCCCCAGGAAAGGTGATGGTCACATGAAGTCAGCTCCCGGCTGAGCTCTCCTTTGAAGACACTTCTGGTGTCTTGAGGTGAGATCAAAATCAGATCAGACATGCAAAGCCCAGTTTAAAAGTAGCTCATGCTGCTAGCCCAAAGCAGAGGGAATGCCTCAAGAGTTATTTGCCAGGGGTTTCCTTCACCTCTTTCCTTTTTGGCAAGACAGCTAACACAGCAATTAAGCATCTTGATGTCTTATTGGTATATGAGTGATGTGGGACATGTGATCATGCATGAATGAGGGTATATGTATCTGCATCCAGACAAGTACATAAGAAGGCTGCATTAGAGGTGGCCTAAGGGTAATAGTCAGCACTCATACGTGGAACTAACATGGCCTTCTAAGCTAGAAATGTGTTTGCTGGATTGAGACCTAAGATGCCCAATTTAGATTTCTTTCTCACTGAGAATTTTGTTTCACAAAGGATAATTTCTGGTCCATCACCCCTCCCAAGCCAACAAATTAGCTGTGATCATCTCCATTTTGAGCATATTATGGATTTTCCCCCAGGTACATTCTTTGTTATCAAATGCAAATGGCAAGTGCTTTCATATGAACATCTCTTCCCTGGTTGGCAGAAACAGGATGAAGCACTAGCAGAAAAATAGGTCAAGGAGCCAAACCAGAAGAGGTGTTCCTCTCTGCTCCCAATCCCTGGTGGGTCTGATTAAATTTAATTACACCATAATAAAAGGAAAGATGGATGGTGGTGGACACATATGGGGTAGGAGTGTAGTGGGGAAATAGACAACACAAGATGGAAACATACGAACACAATTTCATTGAGTACCTAAATATCAAGTACAAAGACACGTGCAGTTGGAAGTGCAAGCAGATGAAAGAATTTAGAAATGGAAAGAATTAAAACAGAGAGAGAGAGCTGAGCAGCAGCAGCAAGTATAGCTAATTTACTCTGAGTGTAGAAATAAGGCAGAAAGAATAAAAGCACAACCAACCTAAAATGAAAAGTTTTTTTAAAAAAAGAAGTAAAACAAAAACAAATAAAAACTGAATCAAGTTTGGTAATGTGGTCTTTAATGTGTCACAAGTTTTCACAAGGACAAAGTTGTAGAAGGAAAACCCCATAGCAGTTCTCTAGCTCATGCAGAACCAGCAGTGGTCATACCTTGGCCCATCCTATTCATCCTTGTTGCACTTTAGAAAGAGAAGTAAGCTACATAAGTTTTAAAAGGCTTTTAAACTGTCACATGTCCCATTGAGCACTTTAACTGGCACATCCTTGGTGTTTCTTAGAAGATGCCTAATGGCAAACTGGGGTGGGGGGGGGGTAGTTCTTTTGCAAAAGTGCATTAATTTACTTCCATGATCGACCAAGCACTGGCAGAAGAGGACCACAATACTGCTTTCCAGTTGGGGCTGGAACAGGGATACTGATTGGGAAGGGAAGAATATTAATCTGAAATGATTTCCAGCAACCGTATCTTCCAAATCATCAGGATCAAAAGAGGATGTACTTGTGCATAGCTCTCATTGCATTAAACCAGAGGTTGTCAGTAAAAGTGCTTGGCTTCATTGTCAATTCACACGGCAAGCTTTTATAATCAACATGCTTTTTGGAGAAGCGGAGAGGAAGGAAATGTCTATCTAGCAACTTTTCCCATCCCCAACATACTTTCTAAAACACAGAGCACATGCGAGGCAACCAACTAGCTCTATCTATAAAAAGAAAAGAGGGTAGGGAAGGAATCATACAACTGCAAGGAATTAGCTTTCTGCGATGGAAAAATAAAGTTGTGCAGAATTCCAAAGTGCAATGCTGATAGCTTAGAAACTTAACATCTTCTCTGGATGTTCAATTTTGATTCCATTCCTACAAGTCACAAATAATTGACTGCAACGCAATTAGCTTGGTCAGTGTCTTGCCAAACCACTTTACTAAGTGCTTTTACTTGAAACTAATAAAACAGAGTAATGAGTAAATATGTTTGGGATTTAGATATCACCTATGCCAAGAACTGTGAAATATCAGAGTTGATCCTGTCTGTGTTCTGAGAACAGGATTTTCTCAAACTGTTTTGCTGAGAATATCAGCATATTGCAAGTAAGGCTAAAACCTGCCTCAAAAAAATGAAAGTACCCCATGGGCTGTTTTAATTTTATCATGCGGGCTGTAAATATGCCTGTTGCAACAGGGAGGTTGTCTGCATATACACACCCCACCAACAATACAGCCAGATTAACTGGCAAGCAGGGAGGAATCTATGAAACATCATCAATACTCAGAAGTATGGGATCGCTTTAGTAGCAAATGGGCAGGCAGAAAGAATGCTGGGGGCCATATTAAGAAAAAATATGCCACGGTTACATATGGACACCTATTGTTCTGGAAGTGGATTCTTTCTGAGGAATAGAGAGAAATAGATCTCCAGTGTGGAACCAAAAATCAAATGTGTTCCGGTGTTTGGAAAACACTGATCTCAACACTCAATAAGGAAATGAGATTTGGCAAATCTACTGGACGGGTTACCAATGTAAAGAAGTATAAAGCTACCTGTTTGGTGGCTTCTTTCATCTGGTAAAATCAACTGGTACATGTCATTGTTATACAACCTTGCCAAGTCCATTAGCTAAAACCTGATCCTACCTTTTCTTGAGGTATTCATAGCACTAAATTAAGCTCTCCAAGTAGGGAGAAGGGGTCCATGGGGGACTAATACTTAAATAAAGAAAACTTTCTGCTCTGTTCTGAACATTCTATATATATATGCTCCTTTGATATGTGGGGGAAGATTTTACCCCATTTATTCTGTACATCAGGTGACAAATTCACCTTTCATTAGAAGTAAAAGTCTCAGGAAGGAAGATTCTAATGAGTTGCATTCAATATTTATGATACATGTAGCTTTTCATCCTAAATGTCAAAAATGAGATAAAATATGGTTATTCGCATAGTAGGATAGACAGGATTTAATATGCAATTAGAACCTTTTTTTTAAAAAAAAAAAGGTTAAATCATTACAACTGGAAAACTATACCCCTGACCATTTTTAGTATTTTGGTTTTAAAGGGAAGAAGGCACTGAGTTCCCAATGTTGCTTTAGTATAAAAGCACGTGCTGTAAGACTATGAAAAAAACAGTGTGCAAGGCACATGCTGTCTGCAGTCCAAGAGATTGAATTTCCTCATTTCCTTAGTACGTTTCATTGGTGCTTGCAAAATTATTCCATTGGGGAAAATCCCAATTTCATGTGTGATTTTGAAGTCCCCCCTGCCCCAACTCTTACATTAGGGAACTTTGTTTCTGGAGTTGACTTCTAAAATCAGTGATCACACTAGAAATGCAAGTCGTTCTGATATTTAGAGCAGTTTTAGGAGGGAGTTACTCACATCTGCTCTTCACTCTTTTCAATCTGCTTTGTGTCATAAATTATGTTTGGTCCGTCTGCTTTGTTGCTGTTGTGCTTAAGGGTTTCATGGTATTGAAATAAAAATGACAACCACATGCACACTGTTATACATATGCCAAATATGTGTATAAAATGGGAAATCCATGGGGAATGCCGGGGAGAACAGGGGAAGCTATTATTGGACACACCAATTAGGGAAGTATGAGTGGTGGATATAGCTTCACACACAGTGAGAGTAGATACACGAATCAAAGTCTATCTTCCTGCACGTACTTCTGCTTTTCCCGGGAGTCTCTGGTCTTAGGGCGATTCTGTCGATTTGCAGTGGCTGGGAGAGAATGCACTGAAGAGCTTTTCTTGCTAGATGCATAAGAAGAATGGGAAGAGTGGGAGAGACTAGCCCGAGACTGGCCAGCATTATGGTCATACTGCATCAAACAGAAGATCCAATCTGTCGGCACAAGCTCAAATTCATAAGGTGGGTTGGCTATAACAAAACTGAAAAAGAAAAAGGACAGTGGTCTTACTTCCCTTCCATTAGCTTTCCTTGTTCTGAGCTGTACACGAATACCATTTTTAGCTGATAAGGGTCAGATTTTTGGCCCTTCAGAAATTCTCAGGGGGTTGCTGCATTGCTTCTGTAATTCCATCAATTGCAATTTGAGGGGAAGGTACGACTTTGTCTGCAAAGCCAAGCTTATCTCAAGAAAAGCACATATTCTTTGTAGGGGGCTTCAGGACATTTGGGAACTTCCAATCAAGGGAACATATTTTGGAGCACAGGATTGATATTAACCCAAGTGACAGGCGAAAAAGATGTATTATGCTGTCATTGACTACAGTTTCTCAGTGGTTTACAAGTACAAGCTGTACCCAACAAATATTACCAGCTGATTAGGATGGTTAAGGAAGAAAAGGTAGATTTCCATACTGGGTAACCAGCTGCTACTCTATCCTGTTAGTGGGAAAGAAGAGAGTTTGTCCTGCATTCTGAGAAATAGTTTGATCAATGAGAATCACAATATTCCATTTTGTTATTCTTTACATCTTAATCCTTTCCCTTATTGGGGTCTTTCAATGTTCATTATTTCTCCTTCTTAGTTTTTCAAATTTCATTATTTCCTTGTCCACTCCTTCTCTTCCTTGACCATTCACAATTCTGAGTTTTCCAACTTTAGTCTTATCTCTTTGGCCGATCTAGAACTGCAGCGTCTTTGGAGTACAGCATTAAGGCTGATATTTGCTTTGGGAAGGAGTGCACGAAGGTTAAAAGTAAAATGGAAATAGACAATGCTCACTGTGGTTACACACTGATGCTATTGGTTCATTTATTTTACTTATCAAAACAATTTCTATCTCGTCTTTCTCTTCAGCATTTGTGGCAAGCCCCCTTGAAGGGGATCTGTGATTGCCTTCTCTCCTCTTGAGTCAAAATGCTGACAACAAGGGGTCAAGCCCCCTGTCCCACACTGGGCTGCAGAAAGTCACAAAAACGAAAAGGCTGCTAGCTTGGCTCTTTGAACGCTTACTAGTTCTTAGATGAAAAGAAACGAAAAACAGACACAACTCTTAACCATTTTTCCCCTGTGTGTTGTGTCTGGGTTACAGAAGGGGAGCTGGAAATCTGTCAGGCTAGCCCTCCCCTTACAAGACCAGAAAGAGGAGTGAGATAAGAAATCTTTCCGGTGGGGAAATGGAGCCCCAGCATCTCAGAAATAAAAACAAAGAAACAAACAAAATCCTTTGAACCTATCCCAGTAGCAGCCGCAGCCGAGCCAGAAATAAATCTGTTCAGCTTCCCAGTGTCCCCGATACTGGAATGCAGAGATCTGAAGCTGCTTTCAAATTGGTGCTAATTCTTCATGTGGAAGCACCCCAGGGTGATGTTTAGGTGGGGGTGGAGGAAAGAATAATATTGTGCATAGCTTTTGTGCACAGATTATATAGTACTTTTACTCAGGACAATGTCATGTGTGAGATTTTCCCAAATACAGCAATCAGAAGAAAGGAAACTAAGCTTGCTTCCAAGTAAACATATATCTGATTGGGCTAGATGGATTACCAATACTTCCACCACTTTTATCTTAAAAGAAAGCAAAACAAAATCCAGAAATAAGGTTAAATTACAATTCATATCATCCCCCAGGCTCACAAAAACTTTTCTTCCTTTCCCTTCAACATCCCACTCAAGAAAGAAATGTGGGAAATGTGAAAGTTCAGGTCTGCAGGGTGGACATCTGTATGTCCTATTAGAAATGACTGTTTTATTTAAAAAATATATATATTTCTATTTATTTCTGCGCAAAAGCAACAATGTATCTGAAGCTAACAGGTAAAGTTATTGAACAACTGCTTCCTTAGTAAAAATCTAATGAATGGTTAAAAACATTTAAAATAACAAGGATCAGCCAAGAATTCAAAGAATTTCCACATACCGTTTCGTGCATTGGCTAGGCGTGCTTGAATTGAAATCTCTTAATCGGTATATTCCAAAGCATAGCATATTGTAAGTTTTCAAAGCTTTACAAAATAGATCTCCATAACAACCACCATCCTAGGAAACAATAAACAAAAAACAAATACATAAAAGAGATGTAGTTTTTTTCCCCCTGTACCTCAGTTATCATTATGACACTGAACATGAGGAAGATAATTTAAATCAGTGGTTCCATGCCAAGGAAAGAAGTTGTAAGGCAATCTGTTGCAAGTGAGAGACAATTACTCAAGGAACTGTCTCATTTAAATATTTAATCTTGAAACAGCTAATAAATGTGTGCATGAGAAGGTGCACAATCTCACTAATTGTACTTCAGAACAACAACCCTATCCACAACCAAACAGCTGGAAATGGGAACACCAAGTGACTCTTATGGTAATTGAACACTCAAGCTTGGGTTCCAGAGACCAGCTATTTCACAAATTAAGAGCAATGTAGTCTGAACTAAGATGATTAAGAAGAAGTGACTTTTTCTTTCTTGCTCTAGTCTTGGGAATTACTATGTCATATGGCTTCATTTGTTCATGTTGTCAATTTTCACCAAGACAGTTTGGATTTCACCAGGAGAAGAACCCTTTATAGGTAAGGACTGTCCTACCTTGCTTTGGGAAAAGCAAGGAAACTAGAGAAGAGGAAGAAAAGAAAACACATTTCTACTTATCAAGGTTTCCAACTGTCCCTAAGCCATCTGTTTATTTTGATTATGGGAATCAAATGCTATTCAGTATGCATATACATATAATGAATCAAATGTATCCATTGCTCCACCAGAACACATTTTATGGATAATCGTAGGCAAATCTTCCATAACTTCCGTTCCTTGTGATGTCCTTACCCCAAGGTCTGCAAAAGGTCCATCCAACAAGGCCAGCTGAGCCACCCGGCACCTGTCCCTATTGGTCAGAGTCTGTGGGGTACTGTAGCCACCCCTCAGTGCATTCTCTTCAGCGATTAGTGACTCCAGTTCTGGCGTGGCCCCTCCCGTTACCAACGTACGTATCAGTGTGAGAATATTGTCATTGAAGTACGTCTGCAGAGATAAAAGACAGCTCCTTAAGCAAACACCATTAAAGTCACCACAGAAGACACTTTTCTGGGCTTCTGCGGTTTAGAGTTCTTGGCTGTCTCTTCAAATAATTTCCCATTGAAAGTGAAAAGACAGCAACCTCCAATTACTCTATTTTCTTCTGCCTATTAGGCTTCCACTAGATTTGTCCTCCCACTATATACACTGTGTGTGTGTGTGTGTGTGTATACATACATACATACACACATATACCCAACTCAGAATTGATTTTTATTAAAGAACAGAAATGTAAATCATTCATGTTTCCTATAATTGGTGTTGCTGGTGAAGGAATGACTGCCTTTCTTCTCGTCACCTTCATGTCTAATAACAGCCTTGAGGACACACAGTTGCAAAATCTGGACCCCATTTAAAGCTTATGCAGGCTAGCTTGCATTTTTATATTTGTCACCAATACGCTGGGGAGTCACCTCTGTGCTTTGGGTGTCATTACTGATTACTGTGCATGGACTTGAACAGTCTTCTCAAAGCATTGTACTAAACATTATATTACAAGATCTGACAGTGTTGAGACACAAGCATGCATCAATTAAACATTCTCAGTCCATTCCAAATACATGTATGATGAGTTCAGGATCCTGCTGGTCCTGTTTTAAAACAAAAACAAAAAAGCTCTAGGGTACAGATAAGTGTGATTTATTAGGGAAGATTTATTCCAATGTGACATTTTGCCAGCATTGGAAGCTAACCTGGTCTTTCAGGCAAACTAGACATATTTTAAATATTAGTTGCATGCCAACAGAAGGACATTTATTTATACATTCAGTGGTCTGGTGCTCCATTAAGAAGTCCAAGTTTATGTTTCATCAAGTAGAATAAGGGTTGTTTTTTTTTAAGATATCATTATTGCTTGCCAGAATGCTAATCCTGGACACACACATGAACACCCTCAAAAATTTTGCTTCACAGTTTGCTTCCAGAAAAATTGGAGAAGTGCTCAAACTGATGTGTAGAAATACTATGCACAGATCTGTAGAACCACTACCATCCCTAACAACCAGGGATATCTAGAACCTCCATCTTCCCCAAATTTAATGAGTTTTGGAAATATTTATACCTCCCCAGTTTCTCTGATTGAGACAAAATGTCCAAATTTGTTTAGTGGGTATTTTTTTTCATGTAGACAGAACTTTGCAGCTCTAATCAAATTGTCTTTGGGGAAATATGATGATGTAGTAACTTCAAGGAAAACCTGTAACTGATTGGCAGCCTAATCCCAAACATTTGAAGAATTGCTTGTAACTGGCACATCATAGCTTGCAAAGATTTTTTTTTTTAATTTATGGAAAACTTACACCACTATTATATGCCCCATTAGTTTCCATCTGGTGGATCAGGATCCTACCTTTTCCATAGCAGCCCCTGTGGATCACCCCTGCCCTGTGGATCACCCTTCCCCTTGGGATCTAGCAGGTCCCTATCCTCCCAGCCTTCTGGAAAGCCATAAAGGGCTGGCTGTTCTCCCAGGTGCTGGGATAGGTTTTGGTGTTATTATTGTTGTGAACTGTCCAGAGTTGTGTTTTACAAGATGGGTGGCCATATAAGTCTAACAAATAAACAAGCAAGCAAACCACACCTATTTATTTATTTGCTGTATAGTCATAGACCAAAAAAAAAAAAAAAAAGGATATAGAGAGAAAGAAGGGGAAAACCCCCCCCTAGATCACATAACAGCTATGGGCCATGGACAAGAGGCTAAGTAAAGGAGAAGGGAGAAAGGAGGGTATTTGGTTATATAGGCATATATATATGTATGTATGTGCATAGTGGGAGACCAATTAGAGGAGATTAGCTAAAGTTGTGGTCATAACCATCCATGTCAAACCCATGGTCTTCTAACAGTGATTGCAATATTGCAGCAATCCACAAGTTTTGTGGACATTATATTGGACTGGCTACAACCTGATTTAACACCATATCTGGAATACCATGAACCATTTCAAGTTTAGAATACTAACTTCTGGAAAACCACTGGATGATTCCCAATATGCGTGGATCAGTGTGACCCAGACAGGAAATGCACTCCAGAACATTTTGTTCCTACAACAGTAGGTTTTGCCCTTTCCTATCAAGACAGTAGAACTCGTGCAAATATGGTAGAATGTACTCTGTAGGTGCTCAGTTCTTCAATTAGTTATTACATAATAAAATGAATGAAAAGAAATAATATTAGCATTTGATTTTTTGCTCTGCCCACTTTTAAATAAGCTTGTATGTGGTCTTGCTCCCTTTTCTATTGCAGCCCTAACATAAAGGTTGGTGTAGCCCTCAGTAAAAGTGGTGTATCTGTGTTGTCCTACACTGTAAGAGGGGAGTGCCATGTCTGAATGCAACCTGATATAATTCACTGGTTAGTTAGATGCCATCCAGCTGGGTTCATTGCCTGCTGATCACATGGTCAAGTGTTCACCATCTTGAACTGCATCCAGAATAAGTTATAGTTCTTCCAAGGCTATTTCTGTAACCTCAGTCCATCCACCTTATCTTCTGTCTTGGCCTTCTGTTGTCCCTCACCCTTGCCAAACACTGTCATTTTCTTCTAGTCTCACATCACAAACACAAAACATGTAGGTGCTGATAATTCCCTAGAAATTAATGATTATTTCTTTATTTAGTCCAGGGCCAGATGAATAATTTCTCCTAGCAATAGAATTTTTAGTAATTGGAAGGTACTGTATCTATCTCCTTTCTCTTGCTGTTTCTCAATGTCCAGCCCTACATTACCACATAAAGACCATTGCCTTAACTGTTCTGATGTCCATTCTCATAGAAATGTCTTTAATGTTCATGTTCTTGGCTACGTTTTTCATTCCCTTCTTCTGTAGGACTAATTTGTTTCCTTCCCCAGCTCACTGTCCATCTGCAGCTATTCCTGAGCCCAGAAAAGCAAAGTGATCAACCGTCTCACCTCTTCACCATTAAAACACCTATTGACATTAGCTTTACCTTCTCAATATTTAACATTAACACAGAATTTTCACTTTCCATTTTTCACTTTCAAATGAGCTCTTTATTTATAGCTAACAAAATGCATATCTGCATATCTTAAATAGTGTTTCAACCCCCAGTTTTGATTCTAAATTTCATCTCTCCCCATTCTGTGTTTTTATGATATATTTAATATATAAATTAAACAGAGATGAGGACAATAGGAATTTTTGTCTCAGTGCCTTTCCTATTATAAAATACTCAGTTCTCCAGATCCAGTTTTTAATAGCGTTTTCTTACTATAAGTGAATGTTCCATTTTTGAACAGTTTCTTTGTTCCTCAGAAGAATAATCATAATAGCATATTAGTCTTAATACATCCCACATGCTAATCTAATCTATGCAATCAATGGCTTTGCCTCAGTCAATAAAGCAAAAATAACTCTCCTTCTGCCTTATAGCATCTTGCTCTCTCCATTGTCTGATCTTGTGTCCTTCTGCCTATCCTGAAATTAGTTCTTAAGCAAAACTTTGCTTGAGTAATTTATAGTTAAGTAATTTGCACAAGTTACTGCATGTCCCTTCTTTGCTAAAGATCTCCCCTCTTTGCATAGTATAGGTATATACTATGGTCTTTTCCAACCTTTAGACCACATAGTGTTGGTCAATATTTGTTGATATAGAGCTGTTGGGATTTTAATTGTCTCTTCTTATTCAGCTTTAACCAGTATTTCACCCACCCCTGGTGTTTTTTCTATTTATTTATTTGTTTGTTTGTTTGTCATATTTGTATAGCCGCCCATCTCATATCATGACTTTAACAGGTCTATTATTTGTGGTACCTCACTTTCCCTTGGCAATATTTTTGTCATTCCACAATCCCATTATAAAGGATTTCAGGACAGTCTTTCCATCTTACTTTAACCTTTTTTGCCTCTATTAGATCACATCCATGATTACTTGACTAGCCTGTATTAGCTATGCATTTTCTTATGATACCTCTGATCTTCCTTTTAAAAAAACCTCATTTTTCTTATTTTTGTTTATTTGTTGACATTCTTGATTAAGGGGTCTTTGTCTTTTCCAGATTGGCACTTGAAGTCTGAATTCATTTGTTGCATTTGTCTTTTGTGTTGTCTAAGATTTAAATCCTTTGTCTTTGTCTTTCATTGGGTATCATGACAGCTTGTTCTGAAAGCCATATTTCTGTCTTTCAAATCTGAGGAACATTTTTTACTGTTTCAGTTTCATGATGACTTTTACCTCATCCCATGGCTCTTTGGGTTTTCTTTTATATATGTGAAATGTACTGAATCTGTTCCTTACATTGATCTTAAATTCTGACTGTTAGGTCCTCTAGGTCAAATCTTGTTGGCACATGTACTGTTTTCAATTTTCTAAGTTTAACCCATATATTTGACACCAATAATTCACAATCCGTTCCACAGTCTGCACCTGGAAGTATCCTGGCTGACTGGATTAAACTTCTTGATCTTCTGTTTCCTATTAAGTAGTCAATTTGATTCCAATGTTGCACATCTGGTGATGTCATGTGTAGAATCTGTGTTTATGTGGCTTGAAGCAGGTGTTAGCAATAAACAAGAAATTCTCTTTACAAAACTCTATTGACCTTTACCCAATTCAAACCATCTTTGCTTTAGGTTTCTTCATTTCTCTAATGTTTACATTGCAATCATCCATTATTGCACTACAACCTTTCTTGCTGTTTCACTCAGCATCTTTTGCAATTTGCAATAGCATTTCTCAATGTCTTCCTCCCTGTATCAGTGGTAAGTACATAATACAGTGTCACTAATTTTAATAAATATGATCCTATCATTTATTGGCTTATATCCAAGCACTTACTTTGAGAATCATTGCTGCACCATTCCTTTACATAGTCTCATGTCCTGAAGAACATATAATAATCTGAGTTACAGTTGTCCATTCCAGCTCACTTATTCCTAAAACCTCCCATTTCAGATTTTCTTGACTCATGCTTCTGACATTCTACATTCTAGTTGCATACGTCCTTGCACATTACTGGCATCATCAGTGACCAGATTTTGCTGAAGCTTTGGTCTGACCACATCATCACTTCCAGATCTAATTGTGAAAATTTCCCCAGAAATTAGAAGAATGACTTCTGACCAGGGAAAGCCTCATCAGTTACTACCCAAACGTGTCTGATGTTTGAGCCATGTTCACACTGTTGATTTGTTTGTCTGTTTGGCAACAACACAGAAGAGGTTAACCATTGATTTCTTCTGGCTTTGACTTAGAAGTTTCTTCATATAGGTGGGTTGATTACTCTCACACCTGTAGAACCTCACCTCTCCTTATCCTCACGGTTAATTTCTCTTAGTTTTACTCCTCCTCTTTTGATCTTACTGTATAGTGACCATATGTCTCTTATTATAAAGGACAGTCCTTTACTTCAGAAATCTGTCCTTTAGATTTATTTAACTTAAATTATTCCTTTTCTTGGTTTTGCTCTTGAATTTTCCTTTGTAAAGCAAAGTTACATACATAAACAATTATTTATTTTTTTACCCTTATCAATCTTTTTCAGGTTTGCCCTTTATTTTTTCCAAGAAAATATGGTCACTATATCTTACTGGCAAGAATGGCCTTCCCAGAAACTCCCATTCCACTGGCTTCACTCTTGGGCTTACTGAAGTCACTGAACCCTACCGCCATTTCAAGGCGGCAATCCCCTGGAATGGATATACCATAAGTAAAGACTAGCTTAAAGAAAATAATTATCTGTCTGCTTGAAGGATTTTATTCTATAATGTTGGCATATTTAAAGTGTGATCCTAAGTGAGGTAATTCCAAAAACTCAACTAGCCAGCTCTTGTGTGGTCACATTAGCAAGAACCAAAATGAGTGGCTGACATTTGGCCCATTGCTAAAGTCTTGAACTCCCTCCCCCCCACTTTTCTATTACAGTCATGTATAGGGCCACCCACATCGTTCGTATAAATAGCTTCTAAGGATGCAGGAAATATAACAGAGGACTTTACTGAAGAAAGGGTAAGGAATTCCAAAACATGTATGAGAGGCTGATCAGGGTGTTAAGGAACATCTATCCATGCTATCCACAGCTATCTATCCATATCTATTCTGCTTGCTGGCAGAAAGCATTCTCCTCCACCTGAAGAATCAGAATTAGAAGTTGGACTCTGTCTCCTTACTCTTGGAGGAGTTGCTGTCCTGTGGTAAGGAAAGCTCTTTGTGAATGGGTCTTTGCATGCTGACAGTCCAGAACTAAGACCATTATTTTAACACCAATGACATCCCAAGAATATATCTCTTAATAGAACCAGAAAAATGATACTTTATAACATATAAATCTACCACACCAATTTATAATGTATTTTATTATATTATCATAAATAAGTCAGACAGTGGTTTATCAGCTGGTAATCTGTTTCAACAGCAGGGAACAGCAGTATAAGTCTTGTCATTTTACGGTGCCTGTCAACTAATATTTTTTAAAAAGATACTAATTGATTAATGCTTTTGACTGCAAAAATTTAAATGAAGATGTTTCAAGGATTCTGAAGAAAGAATTAAACTCTGTGATATTTGATAGTTTAACTCAAAAGAAACCTGCTTCCTTTGCACCATATTCCTTGCAGTTCTATCTGTCCTTGCCTATATTATTCCATAGATGGTCTTCAGTGCTTCTGTCTTCTCCTATATCCTCTTTTTCTTGCAATCCTAGCAATTCTCTTTTGCCTGCTTTGCTTCTCAGTTCAGTTACATGCTTATTTGATATATTTGCTTTAACCAATTATGGCTACATGGAACTGTCCATGGAACTCAGTGAGAGAGATGTGAATTCTGGTATTATAAAACATGACTCTTTAACTGGGGAGAAGCCCATACTAAACAACCTCCCTGCTTTCTAGGCAATGCTGTATCTCCGGGCCCAAATGCAGGTGTTTTCTTCCAGATTTTCCTCTTGCGTACCACCTATGTAGGTAGTGATTTCGAACAGGTATGTATGATATTCCTATCCTAAAGATCTTAAGTCACAAATAAACAAGTGAGGAAGGCAAGAGAGATGAGATTATACGTATGTAGATTATTGTATTTATTCAAATGTTTCTAATTCATTCCTTGTTCTTAACAATAGCAAGGAAAAATTGTTTCAGGAGCAAGGAATGTTTGGGAAGCTGAGAATAGTACAGCTGAATAAATGAAAATCAAAGAAAGGAATATGTTGGGTTATTAGTGCAAAGAGTTTTGAGACAACAAGATTGTGGACAACCATGAAGGTAAGGACAAGACACTTATACACAGAGCCAGAGGAATGTTTTAGAAAATGGAATTACTTTGTCAGTATGAGAAGATGGATTGATTATGTGCCATCAAGTCAGGGCTGACTCTTAGCAACCACATAGATAGACCTTCTCCAGGTTGATTTGTCCCCAACCTGGTCCTTCAGGTCTCCCAACCATACACCCATCACTGCTACGATTGAGTCAATCTACCTTATGGCTGGTTGTGTTCGTCCTCTTTTTTATTCTACCTTTCCCAGTATAATAGACTTCTCAAGGAAGCTCGTCTTCTCATAATACATCCAAAACATGACATTTTAAGCCTGGTCATTTTGTTTTAGGTGAGAACTTTGGATTGATTTGTCTATGATCCATGTTTGTGATTTTGGTTATTCACAGTATTCACAAGAATCTTATCCAATACCAAAGTTCAAAAGCATAGATATTCTTTTTATACTGCCTCTTCAAAGTTCAATTTTTGCTTCCATAGAATGTCATAAGGAAAATCACTGGCTGCACAAGTCTGATTTTTTAGGTATAGATTCATCATAGCATCTGAGTATCTTTCCCAGGGCCTTCATTGCTACCCTACCAAGTGCTAGTCTTGACTGCTGACTCTTTTACTGTTGACAGTTGATCCTTAAAAGCAGGAGCTATCTACCACTTCAATATCTTCATTATCAATTCTAAGGTTGGTTGCTGTACCTGTTGTCACTAATTTGAACTTCTTTATATTTAATCGCAGTCCCATTTTTTCACTGTGCTCCTTGCCTTTCATTACGAGAGCATACAGATCACTTGCATTTTCAGCTATCAGAGTAGTGTCATCAGCAGGTTGTTGGTGTTTTTTCATCTCCTTTTAAAGCCATGCTCATCTTCTTCCAATCTAGCCTCCCTCAATGCATATTCATATATGCTGACATGCAATATATATAGCATACAGTTTGAATAAATAGGGAGAGAGTTTTTGACTCACTCCTTTGTCAACCTGGACCCTGTCTATTTTACCATGTCCATCCTGACTATGGTTTCCTGTCCTGTGCATAGGTTTCACATGAAGACAGTGAGATGTTCCCATTTTCCTAAGGACATTCCGCAGCTTTACATAGTTGACATAATCAAAGGTCATTCTATAGTCAATGAAGCACACGTTGCCTTCTTTTTGATATTCTTTAGCTTTCTCAATCATCTAATTCCTTGGCCTTCTCTACATCTGGCATTTCCCTTTCCATGAAGGGCTTTAATCTCTGTGGGATACTTCTAAATATTATTTTGCTAGCATGTGAAATTAAGATTATTGTGTGATACTTTGTACACCCTTTTAAGTCTCCTTGGTATTGGTATGTAGTTTGACCTCTTCCAGTCACTACTGTACAGCTGGCATAGTTTAGTTTGAAGCTATACTGATTCTTTTTCTGCTGCTTGCCATATTTCTGATCTAACTTCCTCTTTTAGTCACAGAGGTTCTCGTAAATGTTTAGCCACTCAGCGCATCTGAAGTGAGCTGTAGCTCATGAAAGCAGATATTTACCTTGAAAATGATGGGTATTATAATCAGGTTCATATTATGTAAACTGGTTGGCTTTCTTTTTTCTCCTTTAGCTTGACTTAGAACTTCATGATTTATTCCACAGACAGCCCCTGGCCATGTTTTTGCTGTTATAACTGAGCTCTTCTACCTCCTTGTACCAATAATATAGTCACTTTGATTTCTGGATGCTTTCTCTGATATTGTCTATGTATATAGGCATTGTTTGGTTGTGCTAGCAAAGAAGAATGAGATTAAAGAGGCTTATCTGGATAGCAGAGAGAGGATGGTGTTTATATGGCAGAAATCAGTTAAGGTGAGGGATAATCAAAGTATGGGCAGGAATTTCCCTTAAAGAGACAGAGAGAATAGATCATGGACTGTCACAGGGGCCAATTTTCATTCCTTGCCCAAACTCCATGCATTAGATAATAACTAAAGCATGTAGGTTGTTGAGCAACATGAAATTAGCAAAATGGAATAAAATGCACCTTGTGCTGGTTAGGCTCAGGTGGTTCTAATCATGCCAAAAGGAGTAGATAGAAGAGTAAGGGCTGGATAAACATCACACAAGTTCAAGATCTGAAGTCTTTTTACTTGTCACCTTTGCAGTTCCTCAAAGGGACATTTGGGAGGCATTCTTCCGGGGAAAAGTTGCCCATTCCCTCTAGATATTGTCTATTCCTACCTCACCTTCTTCATAGATTTCTTCTACCTGTGCTTTTGAAGGAGAAAAAGGATATGCAGAAAGATTCAGGTGATCTATTGTGAGACATTATCTGGGGATGGTTTCCTTCTATGCTGGCCACAGAGTGAATGCACACCTATGTCTAAAACTACAGCCTTACTCTTATGATACATAGGGCAAAAAAAAAAAAAAAAAGTTGATGCTTACCGCACTCATGAGGGAATCCAGCACGCTGACCGCAAAGGCAGTTCCACATGCAAAAGGCTGTGTGAGATACAATTCTGTATCAGGGTCATCGTCATCATCTTGGTCCAGAAACTGAACATTGGAATCATTTACTGAAAAGCAAATGATAAAATATCTGTATCTATAGTGGATATCAGCAGATAACCTTTACATGCTATACATGAAGAAGAAACACAGTGTCTGTATGGAAACATATCTTGAATGCTTACATGTTACTGAGAGGGAAATTAAAATGTATGTGAAATCTGTATTTGAAAAAAAAAATCAGTTCATCTTTATGAAAGGTGAAGATGTCAGACCAGTAACTCCTCAGTGGCCTTTGTTAGTGTTATTTGGAACATGTGTACTCTAATCCCAGCCACGGCCATCTTGTCAGGGGATGAGACTAGCTTCAGTTTCCCCTTATGCACTGGAAAGCCCATACAGAACTTCCTCTGCTTAATGGAAGTGCTCTATTTACCAAATAGGAATATGAGGCTTCCTAAAAATTACCTGTGGATTTGCATTCACTGAGACAATAAAACACATTGAATAGGTGGAAGTCCAAATGGCTGCAGATGTCAGTGTATGGATGTCTTTGAATAACAGCCACTCCTTGGGCAGTAGTGAATTTTAATTCTTTTTATAATGCATACCTATCTCTCTCTCTTTTTCCCTTCCCTGTCCTGCTATGTATATCTTCAACTTGTCTCGTTTCTCCATGTTGCTTGGTTTTCCCCTTCCCTTCCCTTCCCTTCCCTTCCCTTCCCTTCCCTTCCCTTCCCCCCCTCCCCTATGCAGCAACCCATGTCTTTTCATAACATGACACATGTGGAAGGAACCAGCCAGGCCATTGAAGCCAACAGTGAAGGACTCCAAATTCCTATTCTGTAGAACTGTCCTCTGACAGATGGCCATTACTTGCACTCAATCTGAAAAGGGGACCCCATCACCTCTCCGGGACATTAGTTCTACTGTCAGACTGTTATGAAGTTCTCCCCTCACATTCAACTGGAATAGGATTTTCTGCAATTTAAATCCATTATTCCAAGTTCTCCATGTTGGAATGAGAGAGAAGAAGTCGTGATCTTCTATGTGACATCCTTGCTGATGTGTTATTATATTATATATGTTCAGGTTGCTATCACATCTACCTCAGCTAAACCCCATCTCCAGTCTTATCCCCTCTACCATTATATTTTCGTCTTATTCTGCTGTCTCTGTTGAAAAGTGGCAGAGAAACATATGTGTGTGTATTCAGGGATTTATAAATGATAAGGACAGAATGATGAATACATGCATATGGGGACAACATTGGTATGTGCATATGTGATAGAATGGTTGGTATATGCATATACCAACAAGTAACATTGCAAATAGGATAGCTTATTTTATAGAAAACGTTTATGGCGGAGGGAAAAGTCTCTAGGATTGTTCAACTAGAGAGGGCAACCCTACACTGATAAAAGTAGAAAGCAGTGCACAGGATAATTTTATTCCATTGACTCCTCTTTTAGAGGGAGGGATGATATTAAATCCAGGATTGTTTTCTTTTTGGATAAATACAATAAAACCCCAAGTACATATTCTGATATGCCATCTGTAGAATCTGACTTAGAGTCAAATTACACTTCTCAATTTACAAAGTAGGTGCAGTTTAAAAATAAGAACTTGTGAAGCAGGTTGGGCTGAGAGGGAGTGACTGGTCCAAAGTCACTCAGCCAACTTCCATGCCTAACAGAGGACTAGAACTCACAGATTCCTGGTTTCTAGTCCAGCACTTGAGCATTATACCAAAGTTATCTAGAAGAGGTACCTAGATATATAAAGCCCTATATTTGCATATGCTTCATGCTATTAGCAATACTGATATATCAGGATTCAAAATTATGTGATGAATCTAGAACTAGATGTTTGGTCCCTATATTGAATTTAGCAAGTAGGCAAAATTCAGTATATGGACCAAAGAGATGAGATCCTGTTTTCTCCTTGGAGCACTGAAATAAGATGGAAGTGGGCTTGAGGTTTTTGTTCCTCCATGTTCACGTTTCTACACTTTCAAAAAGACGTCTCTATATACCTGTTCTGGGTGCCAGAATTACAGACAACATTGTTGATGATAAGTATTTCTCTGTAACATATCACATTGGGAAGTGATCAACAGAGATTTTCTAATGAAAAGAAAAAAGACAGTAAGCCTTTTTTGTAAGGCTTAAAAAAAATCTTACAACTTTTGTAAGGCTTAAAAAAATCTTATAACTAAATCCTTGGCAGACATGGCTTTTAAATTAGATTCTCCATATCTTTGTCTCTTTCTCCTTTGCTGGAATTAATTAAAAACCAAATGTGACTTACAGTAGATTAATTCAAAACACCAGATTCATTGCAATAGCTCCATCAATAAAACTGCATAATAGTCTTTAAGTATTATTTTAACTTGATTTTTAATTTATTTTAGAAGTTTATTTTATGCGCTTGAAAAAGGACATTTGACTTCAAGAATGTAACTGTAAGAAAAGTCTTCTATCAAGTGAGATAGGATGGCCCCGACCCTTTTGGCTTTTCAGAAGGCCGGAAGACCTGGCTTTATGCCTGGGCCTGGGGCCCCTAGTGTGCAAAGGGCCCTGTTTCATGGTTGTGCTGATACCGATGGTTTTTTAAGATCTCTTGGCTGTGTTTATATTTATATTTAATTTTCTGTATTGTTTTAAGTGTTTGATGGTTTTTATTTTTGTTAGCCGCCCAGAGTCACTGGTCTGAGATGGGCAGCTATATAAATTGAAT